GTGCTGCCAAGGCTAAGCAAAAAAAGGTGTAAAACTTCAAAAAGAAGTGTGAGTTCTGGCTCAAGGTGAGGAATAGATTAGAAGCTAATTACTTAATTCCTTTGATCCCAATTTATTTATGAAGTGGGAACAGTAATTAAAATGAAATGTAGGGCTATTATGAAGTGTTAGTGTATATAAAGTTCTTCTAACCTGTAATAATGAATGCTGAAAACTGAGCTATCCTGATCATTGTTAAAATAAGGATGCCATATACTTCATAGGGCTGTAAATATTAAGACGATATGCAAAGTGCATAGTTAACAGATGCTCAGAAAAATACCACATTTAATTGAACTCAAGATATACCTTTTCTCTTTTTTTCTTTCCTTTCTTTCTTTTTGAGAGAGATATCTTTGCTATAGGGCACATGTGCTCACTGGAGAGACAGAAAGTGAGAAATCATGCCCCAGGAGAATGGCCATGCCACAATCCCTTCTCCTCCATTATTCTGGAATCACAGTCACGCACGCACACGCACCCAGTGTGATTTTCAAAATACTGGGTCTCAGACTTGAACCACGGTCAACCATGGGGGAGTCGAGCAATGTAACCACTATGACATCTGCTGTTCCCAAGATAGACCATTTTAGGTTCCTCCAAAAAATAATAATAATAAAAAATGCTGCCAATTATGTAATTCACAGTGAGGAAGGTTCTAGTGATAGTTTCAGATATAATGAAATATGAACACTTTTGAACTAAAATCAACAAAATACTTTTTGCATCCTTTTCTTGCCTACTATTTAAGAACTAGGGAGCAGTCTACGCTGTCCAGAATCTGGAATTCTCCTTTACTATTCTTCCTCCTACCAAGTCCCTAGGGCCTCTTACCTGACTAGAAGGAGTTAACCTTAATATGAAACTTATGTATGCTCTTAAAATTAATGGCATAGTGGGGCCAGGCAGCGGGGAAGTGATAAAACATGATATTCTACAGAGCAATCTCACACGGGAAGGTTACCAGTTCAGGTCTGGAAGTCACCGAGCATGCCAGGTACATGGGTACCCTTGAGAGAAGGCTGGCTGAAGGAAGGAGATGCACTGCAGCTTTGATATCCTGCCGGGGTGCCCGTCTCTGTCTCTTGCTCATGAAAGAGATAACATGAACTTAAATCAATGGCTCTTTCCCATCGTACAAGATGGCAGATGAAAAGCTAAGAAACAGGTCCCAGAACAGCCCTTCTTCAAGAGACAGACAGCTCCATGGCTCCTGCGATCTAGCCATTTTGGGAGAAAGGAAGATGTCCCATTGATAACTGGGCCTCCAGCATACAAAACTCACATGGTAGGAAGACCCCTTTCAAGTCTCCTGTCTCTGTATCAGTCTTTGTCTCTCTCTATCTCTGTCTCTGTCCTGTCTTTTTTTTTTAATTTTTGCTTTTTAGAATTTTTTAAGGTGAGGCATTTTACAGGGCCCTTTGACCCCTCCTAGGCCTTCATCTTGTTAATAATACCCTCTCCTCCTCCCAGAACAGCCCTTCTTCAAGAGACAGACAGCTCCATGGCTCCTGCGATCTAGCCATTTTGGGAGAAAGGAAGATGTCCCACTGATAACTGGGCCTCCAGCATACAAATCTCGCGTGAATAGCCCTTCTTCAAGAGTCAGGAA